GGTCAACTTGTCGTCCACCATGACACCCAGGTCCCTCTCTGCGGGGCTGCTCTCCAGCAGGTCCACCCCTAATCTGTCCTGGTGTCCAGGGTTATTCCTCCCCAAGTGCAGGACCCTGCACTTGCCCCTGTTGAAACTCATGAGGTTTCTCACCACCCAGTCCTCCAGTCTGTCCAGGTCTCAGGGCTATCAGCTACTCCACCCAGTTTGGTATCATCAGCAAACTTGCTGAGGGAGCACTCCAGCCTTCATCCAGGTCATTAATGAATAAATTGAACAGGACCGGAGCGAGGACCGACCCCTGGGAGACACGACTAACTGCAGGCTTCCAACTGGACTCTGCGCCGCTGATCACCACCCTCGGAGCTCTGCCATACATCCAGTTCTCAGCCACTTCACCATCCACTCATCTAACCCACACTTCCCAAGCTTGCCCAGGAGGATGCTGTGAGGGAGACAAATCCCAAGTTCCCTGTAAGGGACAAATTCCAAGTTCCTTTTGCTTGGTGTGTGTTGGTTATCGGTATTTTGGTTCATGAGGTAAAGTGTATCTGGGATATTCCCTCCTAGTCTCTGGTATATATATCTAAATACATATATAGAAAGTGTTACTCACTTTGTACAGCACAAATCATTTCCACAGCCTGAATTTGGTCATCACTGGGTTGCAACCATTCCTATGAATGAAATAATGCCATCAGAAACTCATTCTGTGGGTTGGTTCCAAAAGATAGCTGAACTCATGCAAAAAGTCTGTGCAATTCCCTCCTTTTAACAAATCTGAGTCTGAGAGTTTGAAGCAGCCTTATATTACCCACTTTCAAACACTTAGTACCTTGGTCCAGAAAAGTCTTTGAAATACTGTAGCACAGTACAATCACCGATTTAAGGGGAAGAGGGGAAAGAGAAAAGTTTAAGCAAGGGCACAGAAATTCATAGAATTACCACATTACCTTAATTATTAATGTTTTGGAGAATTAAGTTAACCTTCAATAAGTCTTACACAACACTGTGAATAAGAGGGGAGGAAATAAAAGGAAAGTATGAAACTATCAATGCCTTATAGCCTCACCTTCACGTCTTAAAAGTAGCCCTAGGTGAGTGGAATAAAGTGCAGGTAAAGTTCACAGGACAGCATACATCTTCTCCCCAGTTTCTTCCCCTCCAGCCACATCCAAACCCAGTAACTCGGTGCTCCTCACTCACCATTCCCGTCACGCTATCATAGCACGAGCAGTGAGGAAGACTTCGGCATCCCAGGTAAGCAATGACCAGCACAACAAACGCGCTGCAGACAGACGCAATTAACATGGCTATGTTGGCACCCTTGACAACTTTATTAAGTACATATTTCTGCAAGTAAAAAATAAACAGAAAAACAAAAATTACGCCTTAAAGCCACATCCTGAAAAATACACTGAAGCTCTCCATCAAGTACTGTGAGGATGCTGTGATTATATGTTAGGGTATTGATTTAAAGCCACTCTTACTTAAGGCTTTTCTTTCTATGCTTTGAAGAGCAAACCAAGTGTGACACTCAAATAAGAAAAAGAGTAAGCAGAAAGATATGGTTTCTTATTAAACTTAAGACCCTACACAGCAGTGTCAGGTTTGGAAATAGTGGTACTCTAGTCGTACAACTCTCTAAATGAGCTGTACTCATTTAACAGTGAATACAAATCCAAGAAATGACTGCTCCTCTTCACACCAAGTCTGAAAAACATCTCGCTGACTTACACCTTATCAGCCCAATATTTGAGTTTGTTTCACAATAAACTGACATCAGCTACCTCAAGCGAATTCATCCACGCAGCAGTAGTTGTACCAGGTTTGAGGTATAACAGGGCCAACTCATTCTTTCTTTGCAGCTTTACTGTGTGGGATATTCTTGAAATAATTTCTCTTTTTAATCAGCTGACCCTTTAATGAGTTTATCTGTTGAGATGTATGCTGAAATGGATTTAAGAGCATAGAAAGTGCTGCATCGAGTGAGGCCAAGGATACAGCAGGTTACTATCCATCCTCATGGATCAGTACTATGACTTTTTTCTAGAATAAAGCAAAAGCTTTTTGGGGTTGCAGCTCAAGAGAAATGGTACTGCTCTTGAGCAGCCACTTGTTGGGTATCAGTCACCACAGAGAGGGACACCAGGCTCGCTGGGGTTACTGCAAGCAGACACTGACACCAGCAGCGCTGCAGCAGCACTGCATTGCAAGAGGTAGCTATAAAACACCTCCTTAGGCCTGGCTAGGCTCAGTACTTCCTTGTGGACTTGCCCCCAGATTTTCAGCAAGTCCCCTGCTGCAGGCATCACTTCAAATGGTGTCACGGGCATACTGTACCTCTTGTTCTAATGCCAAGAAATGTCTTGGTAACATCCATGGATTTAGAGTGTCATATTAATTAATAAGCACAAATGCTACTTACCGTATGGATAGCATGGATTGGTAGATGATTTAGCTCCTCTTCACCATAGCTCAAAGTTAGGCAGCTATAAACGATTACAATGAGGATGGTAGCACACGAGATGACGGACGCAGTTATCACTGCATTCACCTGCACAGGCAATCAGAGGGAAACGAAAGGGTGAAAGGGATTTAGAGCCGTCCTCCCACTGCTTAATGCGGGTCAAAACGAACAGAATATATTACCAAGTGTGCCAGGCTCGAGCCTTTGATGTCCTGTAGCACTAAAGAGAATCCTGTAGTGATGGTCACAGGGAAGCCAGACAAGAAAGGTTTCCATGATACCGAATGTATGAGGGAAAATTTAGCCTCAGATCTTAACTGCAGGTGCTCGCTGGAGCAAAGAGTTTGTCCTTACAGTTCACTCACTCAAAAACAATATATCCCTTTGGCATTTACACAGCTAGAGGGAACTGGCTGGGGAATGCACTAGCCAATTAACTTCCTATACTCGTGTGCACAATTGTTAGCAACTGGAGGGAATACCAAATAATGGACTCAAAAGCATTCATTTTTTAGTTTTTTTGTTGTTTATAGGGCCAGCGCTCATGGTCTGCAATAGAAAGTGAAGTAATATTGCATTCCCATTTTTCTTCAGAATTCAGCAGTTTTTTAATGAAAAATAATTCATTAAAATAAATTCCTGCAGTAAGAACCAAATAACTCATTTCTTAGCAAAACTGTGCTTGAGTGCCTCTAAAAAAAATTGCCCATGCCCCATCCACACGAAAACCCCCAAACCTTACAAGAATGGGATTCTTCCTCTGAGAGGAAAACAGAGCCAGAACGCCTGGGATGCCCATGACCTGCAGACCAGAGAAGCAATTAGTAACTGGGAGATCCAACTCCGGAAATAAACTGCAGAATAAATGAAAGGCCCTCATTTTCAAGACTCGTATCAGCATAACTAGGATCAGAAGAAAGGGGAAGAAGGAAGAGAAGTGTTCCTTTCCTGCACTTTCCTCTGCAGCATCTCTTGGGAGCAGCACCGACAGCAGGACACGGGGCTGTGTGAAGTTGGTGCCATCCATGAGTCACCCCCAATGACAACAAGGCTTGAGCTGCCCTTATGCACCAGCCAAAAAATATAGCTGAAACCTGGATAAAGTAACGAAAATCAGGGCTGCTTTACCAGCCACTGAGCATCTTGTAGGCAGCAGGAAGTGGACTGAAGGAGACAGGCAGCCTCGGGAGCGAGACACCAGAGGAGGGGCTGCAGCACCTCCCATGTCCCTCAAGCAGGCCAGCAAAAGGCATGTGCAAGTAAAAGATTAAAAAGATGAATTTGAGCTGCCGAGACTACCACGAGGCACAGCGACCCACATGGAACTGGGGATTGTGCCGTTCCCAGGCGCGATCCAAGACTTATCAGCAGTTTGCTGCGTTACAGAGATATCGCTGGAAGTTAATGTACGTGATGCAAGTGCTATGTTGGGCTCGACAGTCTAAAAGTGCTCCCTCCTATCCTTCACTGACCTTTCTTTGGGCACTGTATTTCTGTGGAAAAAAAAATGCCACGACGCCTCCTCATCTGTTATATCCAGCGGAAAATGTTTCAATTCAGACCCGTCAGAGGCAGGGTCTTTTTTCTGCAGCACAAATCCACTCTGCTGCCTGTGGCGGAGCAGCGGAGCCTTTAGGAGACAGGCTTAAAGGAGGAAGCAGGGGAAGCGCTGGCAAGGCTCCTCCACCCTCCCCGCCTGTGTGCTGGCGGCAGAGTGGGGAACAGAAGTGACAAACAGGAGAGGAGCGGGCAGCTTTACCATCCCAGCCCAGACGGGCGCTCTGGTTTTGCTCAGCTCGGACTCCGCTCTGAACACGCCGTCTATGAAGCCGCTGACGACGCACACGGTGCTGAGGGCCACCTGCAGCAGCCCCAGCACCACCATCTGCCTCTGGTTGAAGATGAAGTAGCGGTAGTGATCCATCCCGCTCCAAGCCGCGCATGAACTCGCCCGCACGGAGGCTGGAATCCTGCAGGGAAAGCGGTGCTAGTGACTTTCCCGAGGCAGAAGCGGCACTTGGGCGCATCACCTGGCCGGTTCCTGGCGTGCCGTGCCATGGATCCTGCGGGATTCCCGCGGCACACTGCCGCGTGCCCGGTGCCACGGACACAGGCCATCCCGTTCCCCCAGCGCCTGGGAACAGGCGCCAAGGCGAGCGGGCCGCACGCCACTCGTGACACTACTGCGCACGGACACACCGTGTTCCTGCTCCCGCTCGGCAGCGCCCGCTCGCGTGGCCTTCGCTCCCGGCTCACCGCAGCTTGGCGGGAGCTTGGCACCGTGTACTGGAGCCCGCGCACGCTGCCTCCCGGACGGAGGCGGCCAGCGGCACCCGCCACGCCGGCAAACACTCACCTCTTCCCGCTCGCTACGGCTACGGGAGCTCCCGCCGCCTGCCCGCGCTCACCGGCGCTGCCTCCCTTCCCGGAATGTCCCATCCCAGCGGAGGCGGCGCTGCTGGCGGGGCGGGACGGGCCCGGCCGGGGCGCAGAGAGCGGCCGCGCTTGGCCTCGGTCCCGCACGGAGCCATCAGCCTTCCTGCCCGGAGCCTCCCCGCCACCTCCGAGCACACATGGGCAATCCCGACAGTGCTGCTAAGGAAACCCTGGCACTGCTCAGGAAACCCTGGCGGGACATGCTTCCACCCCGCGCGAAGGGAAGGCGGCGGAGGCGCCGGGCGCGAGGCGGTGCGGAAGCGCGGCGCTCTCCCTCGCCGGTTACACGGAGCGATCCAAGGGGTGTTAGCCCTGGGCCAAGCCCTGCTCCTCCCGCCCCTGGCAACCAGGGTGGCTGCAAGGCAAACGGGCGCGACGAGGTGAAATGGGGCCATGCCCAAAGCCGCCGAACGTGAGAAACAGGGGAGGAAAGGAGAGACCGCTCTGGTCAATTGGATATTTTAATATCTGCATTGCCTTCATAGCGCAATTAAAGCGATCTTTAAAATTCACTTATTACAAATGTTTGTCAAGTCTATTTTTCTCCAGAAACATTTTTTTTTCTTGCTTCCTTGCACATACACCCAAACACTATAAAAACCTCATTCATAACATCAAGGAAGGGCAATCATCATTCATGTAAACATCTTCCTTAGAGTTATCCATTTTTAAAAGTCATGAATAAACCTACAGATGTTCAGTAAGGCTCATAGTTCTAGTACAAATGTCATAAAACACCTATCAAGTACTGTATACAAGATAAATACTCCGGGGTTAACTGCTAATGCATGTATAAGCTTACCCCAAGGATTATTCCGTAGCACTTAGTTCTTCAGAACAGACACCCAAAAAGTATGGGCCAAAGAGTATTAAAATAGCAAAAGGCCCAGCAGAAACTGTAAGTAGTACACAATTTTACAATTTTACTCTGGATTTTAGCTCAATAGTTAAATTCAGTACAGGTACACTAGGAAAAAAAAAGGGATAGGAGGAAACCTGCAGAAAGGAGAGATGAGTGGGTTTGTACAATATCACAGAGGGAAAAACTGGGAGAAGTCTGTCCTAAAGATGAGATTGGCCTTGCTATTGCAATGATTTAGCACAGCTGTGTGTAATGCTGCATAAATATTCTTCCTCAAACAGCAGAAATGACAATTTTTCATTGTAAAGATAATTCGCTTCATCTCCCTTAAAAAAAAAAAAGATCTGCTTATTGATATTCAATTACATTTGCATCTTACAAAAAGACATCCTTTTAAATTTGGTTTAAATCTGTCTGGATTTTTTTTTTAAATATTCATTCTATCACGAAAATATTTCATACAAACATCAGTTGTTTACTTACAAATATGTTAAAACTTGTGAAGAGGGTCTTCCCACACTCTTGATTTTATGGCTTGAACATTTCATTGCTTAAGAGTTTTTGTATATATAGTTCTCTTGGAAAAAAAAGAAAAAGAAATGTACTTACAGGAAAACTGGCAGAGAAAGAGGGCAGGAGCTTCCATTGCAAGAAGACAGAAGAGAGCCAAGAGGAGGGTCCATTCAACAGACAGTGACCTTAGTGTTCAAAACCTTTGATCTGGGGCAAGTAAACATGCACTCAATCTTGCACCTTTTTTTTAAAAAAAGAAAATCCTTTGTAAGGCCGTTTAGAAATGCTACTTCCAAAAACACAGCTCTCACGTTTCTAGCACACGAAGCACAAGGAACGAGTCCTCCCTGGGGTGTAGGGAAGCGTGAGGCCCACGCCGGTGCTCACAGGGGAAGCTGCTCCCACGTCCGTGTTCCTCGCCGGATACTCGGAGCGCGCAGGAGCCTCACGCAGCACGGCGACACGCAAGGAAATGCGCTAGCAGCACTGCTCTCCAAGCACGTTCCCAAGGGCTCAGAGGCAAATTCGCCACCTCGGAAGTTCTGCCGGGTGGCGGGAAGGCCAAGGAGCAGGGAACTGGCTCTGTGCAACTCGCCACCTCAGCGCAACACGGTATTTTCTAAAAGACTGCCCTGTCAAACTAAATGAAAAGATTAAAAATATATATCATAGAGGTCTCTAGGACAGAATTAAGTCTCCTGGCTCAGTCTAACTGGTCAGCACTGGGACAGGTCAGCACCAAAGCATAAATGCCACCAGAAGAGCGATGAGAACAACCCATCCCCATATGGGGGTCCCACACCTGGCCCGAAGCCAACGGAGCAGGAAACAGAACTGTGGTTTTCACCATTCCTAGCATCTTTCAGCAGACAGGACACGCTGCCTACCCTCCTCCCTGAGCTCCCGGCAGGGCGCAAGACCCTCCAACAAGGCGCTCACTTCCATGCGAGCAACGTGCTGGGAGAGCCCCGGGAAAGCCACTAAAGCCAGGCGTGCGCAGCAGGAGCGCGAGCAACGGCACGGCCGCGTGCTGCCCCGGGCGCAACCCCGCTGGCCGGCACCCACGCAGCTCAGCACCCAAACGGCAGCAGCACCCTGCGCCACCCCGGTGGCTACTGCCGCAACGGCAAAGAAGTCAGAGGCGAGTGCCCAAAACCCGTTTCCATGCGTTTGGTTGGGTTTTTTTTTCAGCAGTAAGGATTTAGGTTCATTTCTGAAGTTTTTTTTTTTTTTTTTAATAAAGAAAAAGAAGAAAAAAGAAACCTTTTCAGATTTTTGAAGGTTGCTAAAATCAGGCCTTTCAGCGTATCCAAAAGAGGTCAAATTATATCACCAGACTTCACACGAGATGTCCTCTGGAGGCCTCATCCCTTCCTTCTATGCAAAGAGCAATCCAGCAGCAGGTAGCATCTCAGCTGTACCTCCTCCTGCGCTCCCAGCCTGCCTGCTGCTCCAGGAGATTAAGCCTCTGTGTCCCCACTGACAAAGCACAGTGCTGCCTTGGCAAGAATATAATTCAATTCTTTTTTTTTAATAGGTGATCAGCAGCCTCTAGTACAGGCTGGTGTCTGCTCCTTCTCGTACGAGGGCTCGGAAAAAGACTCTGTTGTAGAAACAGCTTGTATCAAGATCCTGCACAAATTTGGAAGTTGGGAAACACTCCCTACCTGAAAAAAGCAGCAATTCTGAACTCTTTTATTCTGCTTCTTAGTCACAAAGGGTACCAGCTGCTGATCCAGGTTCAGCAGGTATCTGCCTGCTGCTCCTCTTCCCATTGCCGTTCCAGTAGGACAGGTCTTTGGCCAGGCTCTGAGGAGTCGAGCTTCTCTGCTTATTGCATATTCACACCTAGTCAACTGTATTCAGTGAACTCAAACTGATTGCTTTGCAAAGGGACTATTTGGTCTGCCCCAAATGAAAAACAAGTTTTGGTGCGGATCTCTGCTGATAAATAGTTTTGCTAAACCCCAAAAGCTGAGCTGCAATAAATAGAGCAAGTTAAGGCATTAATCTGAGTTACATAACTAGCCTGTGTCTAAGCCTGTGTTTACCAGCTCACTACTCTTACAGCATCTGAAGGACACACGGAGCTCTCAGCCCCTCTGCTATCCACTGGTAAACAGCAGTGGTATCCACTGGTAAACATCTCCAATCTAGGAGACCACAACAGGGAAGGGGAAAAAAAAACAAAGAATTAAAAGGCTTTAAAAAGCTTGGTCCTGATTCAAGCCAAACCAGCTTTTTCATCACAACTTTTATAGATGGTTGGTCACCCAAGAAGGACCTGTAGGAGGACCAACAGATTTTGAACAGAGCAGAGAGAAAGAGGACAGCAGAGCTAAGAGACACTAGCCACACTGGCGGCATACACTCAGACTACAGGCAGGCCTAAAACCAAGAGAATCTGCTTGGCTATCACCAAATCAGTGGCTTTTGAGAGAATGCACAGAGGACACTTGGGGGCTTTATTCCTAGGAATTCCCTGTTGTAGGATGCAACCACCAAACCTCATTGCACAGAGCCTTCTTTCTATTTGTCTTGTATTTATCTCCGAAATCAGGCAGTAAGACGAACGTATCTATTAAAACACAAGCAAGTCTATGTTCTTAATAGAGAGCAGAGGATTCGGAGACAGATCAGGAGTGAAGCCGAAGGAACTCCACAGAGCAGAGCACATCAAGCAAGCTCCCCCGGCTGGCGCGAAGAGGCGAGCGCCCCAGGGCGGGTTATCACAGTCTAAATAATCATCTAAGGACAGGTAGGGAAAGATCCTGAAACACGTTCTTTTCCTGAAACGTGTTTCTTTTGGAGGTGGATCTGCTGAAGCTCTGCTGCCAATCAGCCTTTGACGTGGATCAGTTCTGCTTCTCAGCGCACTCGGCCGAGTGCGTCAGCCTCCCGTGGCTGTGAGGAGCGGAGCCGCCAGAGCTGGAGATGGGATCAGACAGAGCTCACGTCCACAGGGCTGCTAGGAGAGTGCCAGAAAGCCCCGAGCCCCTTGCCCAGCGCAGGCACGTGCACCGAGTGGCTTTTGTGCAAGCTGAAAGGGGAGGTGCTGAAAAAGCTTTGCAATCTAACAGCTGCAGGAACTAAGCAGAGCCCCAAATTAGAGAGGTCCTTATATTTATAAGCTCATAACTTTGTACACATACCAAAGCAAGGATTCTCAAACTGCATAAAATAGCAACCTCATCCTTCTATATATCAACTCAACATGTCCTTCAAGTCTAGCTCCCCAGAGTGCCAGACATCGCCAACTGTTGAAGCAACCAAAAAGAGTGTTGCAATAGAAAGGTAGAACTAATTTTCTTTTTTTTTTATGTTACATATATACAAACACTTCTTAAAACTAGAAACATTTGAAGAAAGTGTTGCAAATGCATCTGAATTGTTCCTAAGCTGCTTAACCCGAAAGAGAATGTCAGAGTCTCAAAAGTGTCCCAGCACCTAGACTGAAATGATACCCTATTTCTCTCTCCTACAGCTTTAGGCAAGTCTGGCACAGTATTTCAAATAACAAACAACTCCCCTGCCCCTATAAAAACCCAGAGGACAACCCTGAAGATGAATATTCACAAGCCCCCACTGACGGCTGCAACGGGGCTACAGACTGTCATTTCTAAATGAGCAGTGAGTGATGTTTTTACATTCATTGTTTGCCTTTCAAAAGCAATGCTTTCACACTGACATTCTTCAAATGGAGTCTGATAGCTCATTCTGTACTAATTGACTATGTCTTAAACAACTACCAAGAGAAAGGCTGCTATAAGGCCATATTCTTTGTTATCTGAACACATATAAAAGATACAGATCTCTAACAAATCACTAAAACCTGCCCTCAAATACGTACACTTCCTTTAAGCGACTTCATATGAGATACCTGCATTTAGTGATAGAATTTTTGCCTTGAGAATCAGCCATTTTAAACAGATGAGATGCACAAACCAACCCGTGGACACTAATGCAGTCAATGTGTTTGCCCTCCAGAACATACGCTCCTGAAAACCTCTCAAAAATCGAATGTTTTCTCCTTTCAGAAAAGTCTTCATTCAAAGAACAGCTTGATTTGTGTGTGATAATCAGAAATCAAATAAAATAAACTATCCATAAAGGCCAGATAAATATTAGTTTTGGACATGTTGCTAAAACTATTTAGAGAGCCACAAAGACCAACACACAGCACTCTCACATACACACGAAAGCCTTTCCACTAGTTGTAAAGGATTTTCTCCTGCAAAAGAGGACTTGTAGAAAGAACAACATTCAGACAAGAGGAAAGGGGAGTTAAAAACCCAGCCTCCTAGATGCTAATAAACAAATTGCTCTATTGCAAGATTCAGATCAAAGGTTTAAAAAGGCAAAATTATGCTACTATTAGAGAATATCAAAATATTACTGTTATCATCACAAGTGGCATATATGCAAAATGCAGTTGCACAATAATGCCTAGGTAGATAGAGAGCAACACTAAGTCTGCTGACTAAAAGTGAACGATATACCCATTTTAGTTTTCTGTCTACTCTTTTGGCATCTTTGCATATGGTGCAAAAGCAGAAGCTACCAAAGAATATCACGTCTTGTATAGAATATTAATTAATTTCTCCAGATAAGACTAGTGCAACACTAGCTAATTTTAAATCTGCTATGAGTAACACAGTCAAACCTAGTTAGAATGCAAGAAACTTATCTCTTAACACAGAATGCAAAGTTATGATGCAACAGCGTGAACAATCCCTGGTTGTCCAGTTTTCAGTAGAAAGGTAGTGCATAGATCCAAGTCGCTATTTCAGTTTGCTGAGCTGAGAAGCAGCTTCCACTTCACTTCTGCTGGGCAGCCTGGAAAGCTTTCAGTTCCTGCTGGTACCACTCTGGCGCCTCGGGCCCGTTCTGCCCCACAGGGTTGTGGTCGTATCCGTAAGCCACGGTCAACTCCTCGTCCTTCTCCACGGCCCGGATGGTCCGGATACACTTGATGGGCCCAAAACGAGGATGAACAAACCTGGACAACATGGAAAAAAAAAATACTTTTACTAAACTTGCAACTGTCAATTGACAGCCTGTGTTTAGCCTTTCAAGTCACTCACCATTGAGTCAGATGTCACATAATGGATATTAGATGGATATAATGTCACATAATGGATATTAGATTAGATTAGATATTAGATGAACAGACTTCGTGTTTAGGGTCACCCTCAATGAAGATTTAAGCAATCAGGCTACAAATACAGGTACATTACAGCAACACTGTGTAGCCCTATTAAAACTTGTCAACAGTCTTTTAATATTGCTTGCTTTTAATACCAAAATAAAAGAAAGGCAAATATGCCACGTGCCTCAGACCTGCAGTGGGAAACATCTGCATGACACGAAAACAATCCAGAACGTGAACGACCGGACAGCACGGAAAATGGATCACCTTTATCTCCCCAGCACCGTGAAACACAACCACAACACACTTCTGTGCATCGCCTCCAGGGTCTCACTGGGAAGGAAACCAGCTGATTTAACCGAAGACGACTACTTTCTGCATACCTACATACCTACCTGCCCACTTACACGTTCGGTATGAAAATATGCGTGTCCTTGAAAATACGCTGACATCAAACAGCATGCTAGTGCCCTGCACCAACTTGTTGACCAGCGAGAGCCTTAATTCAGGGGTTTCAGAAACGACAGCACATTTGACAGTGCTGGCCAAGCATCTGCAGTTCAGCACACGCAGCACAGCCCTGGCCAAGCCAGGCTTTAGACAGCTGCACTCGTGCACTTCGGCATCAGTGACACAGGCCAAACATTCACCCGTTTTAAGACACCCTACCAGCGAGTCGCAAGCGCTCGCCACACCAGCAGCTTTCCAACGTGATCCAGGGAACGCTCAAGGCCACAGCCCTCGGCCCCGAGAGACAGCGCTACTTACGGGCCGTAGATGCAGTTGGGAGTGAAGGAATGGTTGGCCTTGTGCCCCAGCGAGGCGCAGTACTTGGCGGCGTGGTTGTAGGGCTCTGGCACGTCTATGACGGTCTCGTCGTCCAAGGATATTGTGTTGCCGTTGAGGGCCCAGTCTCTGCTGTCCACCTGGTTTGCAAGGCAAAAACCCCGTGGGTGTGTGTGCAGGTGAACTCTGCGGCAAGTTTGAAAGCAAATGCACTCAAATAAACGCTTTTCCTACGGACGAGGCATTTCAAACAAAAGCTGTTTTTTCTTTTAACGTAGGCAAACATGTACTTTCTTTCAATTAAACTCTATCTGTTAAATCTTAGAAGTGGGGAAGGGGTGGGTGGATAGGTGTCAAATCCTCATGCAAGAAAAAGATTTCAGAAGGAGCAATGAGATATTAGACTGACTTCTTTTTCTCTCCTTTACCTCCTGGTGTGTAATTCGCACTCCATTGTAAAAGGACATAACGGTGTGAGCTTCTGCTGCTATTTTTGAAAATAATCCTTCTCCAGCATTGGAAATGAGAGAGACATCAACATACACCCTAGAAGAGAAAAAAACAAGGCAATTTTAAGCCTCCAAATGCAATTCCTCTCCCCTCTCCTCCATATCCTCCTTCTACTTAGGAATATGGAGACAGAGAGGAATCTTATCTATCAGTTTGCAAAATACTTCTGTGTATCAGTCATGTGTTTGCTCTTAATGCTCCATCATGGCTTCAGTTTGGGAATATCCTCACCAATATATCAGAATCCTGGAGGTCTCTACTAACCTGCAGTTGTTGGAGGCAATGGTGTTGTACGTCCACAGGCTATTACACCCCTGAGCAAGAGGAGTCAAGATGAAGCCCTACACCTTGATGCAAATTAATGCCAGTATTTTACTAGTCACTTATTTAGGCATTTCCAAGGACTACAATTAAGAATCCTAAAGGAAGAAATCTTCTAAAAGTTTGGGCAAAAAGTAAATAATACGATGCACGGTGCACTAGACACAGCAAATTACAAAAGATAACACCAACTGACTAGCATCTAGGCAATCTGCTGAAATAAGCAGTATTTTGACACTACAGGGCTGTCACAAACAGAATCCTACTTTCCTCTGGCTTGATGATTTATTCCTGTCCTGACTATATCTGGCTTTAAAATACTGAGAAGTTATCATAGTTTGATCTTTTAAAAAATAAAGCTATGTTCTACCCGTCAGAGTAATTTTAATGTGTAAAACAGAAAGAAATTCCATCAGGTCAAATGTTGAATAATACGAAGTAATGGTTTCCATGTGACAAGCACTTGTATAGATTTTTAAATGAAAAAAAGGCTTGCAAGCTCAGGCCTTAAACACATTACAGCCAAGAAAATTCGACATTTTGAATGTGCAAGAGGAGGAAGAGGGGAAAGAGAAGAGTCTACCTCTCTGACTCATAAGGATCAGGAAGAAGTGCGTTTGTAGAAATGCAGGATGAAGTAGATTTGTCAAAACTGTACACTGGGCCTAAAAGATAAAGCAAAGTGATTAAATTAATGGACAATATTGAAAGCATGCAACTCAGAGCAATAAAGACATTCAAAAATCAAGTTTTAAAGACTGTAAGGAATAAATGTTTTGCTTCAAAAACAGCGTTGCATAGTGCTACACCTATAAAAGAAACAGCCTTCAGTGAAGTACTACTTTTTTATTCTTTTTTCCCTTCTTAACATACCGCCGCAGTAGCACATCATCACAAAAAGTAGTATCTATGTTTCTTAAAGTAATACTTTTAAGGAGTGACCGGACAATCAAAACCGACCCACCCAAGGTCTTGAATTAAAAAATAAAGCAAAAATTTAAAAGGATATATTAAATAACACATTCATTCATTAAAAAAAAAAAAAACTTGGGATTATTTCAAGTAACATTTGTTTTTCTTTTCAGTTTGAAACTAGATGAGACTTCAGCCAGAAGATAACATTGAGTATTCACAAAGCACATTTGTTGCAGTACCTCATTTATTTTCTGCCATTACTGAACAGCTTGGTGGAAAACCTCTGATTGCATTCCCCAAACCCTCTGCATTCAACTGCAAGGAGGTTATTAGGGACAGCCCAAAATGCAAGTGGAAATAAAAAAGGGGGAAAAAACCAAAACAGGATATTGCAAAGTTTGATAAAAGGCCATTGTCCATGGCATCTAGGTTCTAAAAATGGATCTGTTCTGACTGAAGCCCGCGACAGACAGAGTGTAATTGTACCCTACTTACAAAGCACAACTGTACCCTCTCAGAAGATCGGTCTTAAGTTACATTTTGATATACCGTCACTTCTGTAAGATTCAAAAAATAAAATGCCATATGCATTCTTGAACTTCTCATTCCCTTTTTACTGAGCTCTATATTCTCATTTCATACTTAAGACAACAATCCTTGCTGGCACAAAGATAAATGTGTTAGTACAATATTCAAATGCCTGTTCCTACCCACAGACTGACTCTCCCCCCTCCAAAACACCACATTCACCTCACCTTGGGTACAAGGTAGCTCGGGTACAAGGTGTCACGCTGATGCCAACCATTTTACAAGCATTTTAGATCAGCATGACTACCCAGACGGACAGGAGCTGGGGAACCACATCCTTCCACAACAACCGAATCAACTGCATCAATGCCAAGTCCTGTGTCCTTTCAGCCCTGTAACATCCACGGTGCTAAAAGTGACTTGTGCAAGCCCAGCTCGTGGCACCACAAAGGAAGCACAGTCTCCCTCTTCACCCACAGCTATTCTGCTGGCAAAACAAAACTTGCAGCTGTGACAGCACTAGTGCTGTCAAGCAGGGTGTCGTGCTGGCATAGGTGACAAGAGTACCTGCGTCAGGCAGGACTGTGTCCGTGAGAAGAATAATGAAAAGCAATTCAGCAGCACCACCACATGGGCCACTTTTCGTTTTTCAGCCTCTTGGGGGCTCATTTGCTTATTTATTTATATATTTATTTATTGTGGGTTGCAGGGAGAGAGGGAGAGAATAAAAAACAAGAGAGCAAGCTGCTGCATTAGCTGAACTTACTGCCTGGTACTACTTTAAACTGAGGTTTCCCGTCCTCTGCAAATGTCAGGGTGGCCAGTTTTGCTTCTAACATTTCTCCATCTATGAACCTCCCAAAATACGCAGTTTTTCCATCAGGATACACGTAAGCTATTTTCTTTCCGGTCATCTCCCCTTCTTCATTCACTTCTCCCACCAGGCTGCCTCCATCCTGAGAGTATGTGTGAGAAAGAAAAAGAAGAGCATTTAACTATATGCTACTATCTTCTGTAAACAACAGACATTTTCTGGCTTTTTTAAAGAAGAAAGCTAATGTACAGCAAGCTCAGATAAGACCTAATAAAGAGTAGGGAGAAGCACACATACACACACACAAAGGAGTAAAATCTAATCTCAGTCATTATTAAATCAAGCTGAGAAATGACCTGGACCTTCTGCCTTGTTTGAAATAACAAACCTCTTTTTTTTTCTCTTTCTGATTTTTTTTTCCTTCCTCTTTGACCCAAAAACACTGGGTTTTGATTTACAGGATTTTTATGTGGACAGTCTGTGAACCAAGGCACAAACTAAACAAAAATCCATCTCTGCATTTTCTTACCATGACATTGTGCTGCAGGAAAAACATCACCACCACCACACTGGCTTGTGTGCTGTAGAGTGATGGTGCATCCAAGGTCTCCCCACATGTGAGGAGCCACGCAGTGGGAATTGTCGCTTAGTGGAGGCCAGTAACCCTTTTCCCCACCAAGCTTTATGGATTTTAGCCTAAGCTTTGCCACCGATTATTCTCTTGCAACTCAGAAGAGCTCTATTTACAGGACTGCAGAATGAGATGCATACATTAGCACAGGTCTAACAGCCTCAAGTGTTTACTTCAGAAGGACAAGGAAACACAGGGAAATAACACTGCTGAGCCAGAGGCTGACAGTTCCTGAGCACAGTACCTCCCAAAACACATTTTCAGACGCTACAACCACATTTTGTCAGCTACAACATGAAATAAGAGAGATATGACATGACGGGTCCTGTGCCTCCAGTGACTCTCCTGCTCTCCAAAAGCCAGAGCTCCAAAGGATTGTTACTAAGGTGCTACAAACAAGTTGTCCCCTGGAAGTTTCTCCTTTCTCAGCACATACTCAAGGTAAAGTGCCTATGAAATTAAAAGACTCAATTGCTGCTTAAAACCGAATATGAATAATAATTAGAAATATAGCAATCATTATTGCTTCGAGTAACGAATATCATTTTAAGAGTATATCCAGAGTTGCCCAGGGGAATGCCTCAGTGTTTATGGCAAGGCAGAAAGGCCAAACCTGGGCTTGCTCAACGAACAAAGCACTTGTGCAGCCTCTGCCCAGACGCCTGGTTCTCACCGCAGCTGCATCATGTTTACTAGAACGGGCAGCCTTGGCAGCCAGCTCTACAGGCTGCAGCACGTCCCAATGGCTTGCACGGCTCCCGTGCTCCCTGTTTGCCAAAGGCACACTCGCCGGGACAGCCTTCCTGGGGAGAAATGTGGCAAAGCGCTTCCAAGGGGCTGTTTTCCCTGGAAGATGAAAGCGGGAGCGGCACCTTGCAGCCTCACGGAATCCTGTCTACTAGACAAGCATGCAAGGCCGAACACGTTTCACTGCATATTGGACTACCCAAAATCAGCACAAACACAGCTTCCCCTCAGATTTTTATTCAGACTTTTGGATAGCTTAGTCTTGCTGGCTATTTATTTATGGGGGAAAAAAAAAGAAAAAAGGAAGATGCAGAAATGCAGCAGAGAGAGCAGGAGGTCAGGCTTACCGGGAAATATATCCAGCACACGCCATGTCGAATGTTGTCTTTATACTGCCCATTAAATATCAGGCGCCCATCTCTGTCGTACTCCTGGGCTGGTCCGTTCAGTTCTCCATCCATGTATGTGCCATGAAGGACCACTCCGTCCTCGTAAGTGTAGATTGCCTGGCCTTGCAGGGCATCATCAACATAGTACCCTTCCAGTGTGCTGGTAAAAGAAAGAGTAGTGGGAGACTATTCACCCCTTTAAGATGTGCATCCAAATTTCCCATCCTAGATACAGCAAAACCTCCCTCTCCACTCATTCTGTACGTTATTGATAAAAAGGGACCACAGGGAAAGTTTCATGAAAGCCAAGGTCTAGCAGCAGCAGAACGACTGCAGCCTCGTTTTCTATTGAGGTATGTCCTGCAGCCTTTCTCTAAAAGCTCACCACAGCTACAACAACTGCTTTTCTGTTTTATTTTATTTATTTTTCTTTTTTTCTTTACTCCCTCTGACCTCTCATACGTCATCTTTGCCCATCTCTCACGGGGCAGAGGAGAGCCCAAGCCATGGCTGGGTCGGCGCTCCGCGCGGACGGGCCAGCTTTGTGGTAAACACGTGCTGCAAGGCCTGGCGGATGCTACCAGGGCTTCTCACAGCCAAGGGTTCCCTTGCTGAGGGTCTTTCTTCCACCCTCTACGAGTCACGGCTATCCCTGATGGGTCTTTGACTCAGGTGTGTTTGCTACCTGCAGCTACATTTAACAGGGGCAAGGGAAACTGGAGGGTGAGAGAATGAAAACAGAAACCCATGAACACGAGCAGGGAAGAAAAAGATCACATAAGCCTAATTTCTTTAGAAAACAAAGCTAGAAATACAAGCTTGTTTCAACCAGCTGCTGAAGGAAAGCACAACTGACCCTGTGCTTTCACTGCAGAGCAAGCTGCTGTGTGTACACAACCACCTGCACCTAAGTTGCCTTCTTCAGCCCCTTCCTCATCTGCTGCGACAGCAAATTAAGGCAGCAAACGGCCCATACACGGCTCAGTAAAAAAACTTTTGCTTATGTGGGCTATTCTCATACGGGACTTTTCCTATCTCCTGGCTTTGGTTCTTCCAAAACATTTCTTTGGCGACATGGAGCTGAGCTGCCACGAGCGCAGCACAGCACTGACTGTAATAACTAACTGTTGCACTGGTTCAATGGTAGCTCACTACCAATAAATCCAGCAGCAATCTCTACCAGCTAGGCTAGAAGAACTGCTATTTTTCCATGTACTTCTGCTAAAACAGAGCGCAGCTGGTCAAACAGAACTAATGCTGCGTTTGGATTTTAACGGCGACACCTTTGATTTTTCACTTCAGTTGTGTTCTGCAATCCCTGTAGAAGATGTGTAATAAAACCCTTACAATCTGCTCTCTGTCCTTTCGTAAAAAGGGCAGCTGAGAAAAACTGCAGAGAATGAAAGAATAACTGACTAGATCCTTTTTTTTTCAAAATGAACTTCTTTCTCAGGTTAGACATGGACAAACACAAACTGTTCCGCTCATCCCGATCGTATTCTCCAGCCTATTGAGCTAACGTACACATTCTTCCACTGCTGCGTCATCCTTTTTGACTGAGACATCTGTGGTAGAAGCTCCAACTGCTTGTCTGGGAACACAAGACTCCACATGTTTTTTGCAAAACTTCACTTCAAGAGCTGCTGAATGGAGATTTTCTCAGAACTAACTTCCTAATTTCTAAAGCTTCACTCTTCAATTTTGCATAATTTTATCCACCTGTTTGATGTTTTTCCACTTCAGTAAAAGCTGTTTTTAAAACACAACCTCAGCTGTGGTTTTACACTTGCACCTTTGGAGCAGTGCATGATTTTTCAGGCAGACTCATTTCTCGAGCCCAGTTGCTGCAGAGCAACACGGCAGCTGCTGCAGTTCAGTTCGGGTAAGGAGACGAGCAGCTGATGGAATCACCAGAAACTGGTGTGCTTTACTTCAGAAATGAGACCACTTTCCTCTTTCTCCAGATGAACAAATTTGAAATTCATTGCAGCTGGCAGCACACACAGAACTCGCATTTAAGATAGTTCTTTAAAAGAAGCGACCCCTCATTTGTGCGACGAAACTGCAAAAATAACCATCATCTTCTTAGCTTCAATCATACTGGCTGCAGCCAACAAGTCGCTAAATTAGAAATGTTCTTTAGAGCTTAAAAAAGTGCCTTTTACTTTTATTCAAATCTCTGGGGTACATTCATTGTTTTAAGCTCAGTAACAATGCAGAAAAAAATCTATCTCTTTCCCCTTCCATAGACTATAAAGAAAAAGAGGGAAAAAAAATCTAAAGTAATTTTTTGTTTTTTAATCCTGTCTAATAAATCCAGTTTTCCAAACCTTTTATACTTGTCACACTTCGGGGGGGTGCTCTCTCTCCCTTTTTAGCCTCCTAAAAATTATACTGCCTATAACAGACACCAAGGCCTTGCCAGCATTAAGTGGCGGACCACTTGACGTGTAGGTAAATATCAAGCACATAAATAAACAACTGCTTCCTGAGTCTGCATATGCACAGCCTTGTCAATACACACCCCGAGCTTGCCCACATTTCTCCCATGTGCTTCTCAGATTACCATACCGGGGACAATGTAAATGCTGTCTGTAGTGGAAGTGCATCAGATGTAACGTCATCCCACCACCTTCCAGACCTAGAGGATATCTAGGATATCCACCACCTAGCCATTATTACGGGGGAAAATAAGAAAGCTTGATGCAGAATGCTTCCAGGTACTGAAGGTACAACAGTGAACCTTGTCTTGTAGGGGACGAATAAGCAGCTCCGGTATTTCCTTCCCAGTTTTCACTTCCGTAAGCGGAACAGGAAGGGGTTAGCTGCTCCGATAAAGGCGGAAAATCCTAACGGAGACAAACAAGGCGGAGGGGCAGCCCCATTTCCCTGGAAATGAAAGCACCGACGTTGCCGCCAGCCTCCTCTCTGACAGGAGCCAGCTCTTCCCACACCAAAGACCTGCAGCCTGTCAGCCTGGGAGGGAAGGGGAGCACAGAGGCAGCACAGCCCGTGACGGGAAAGAAGTTTTGGGGAATTTCTGAAGTGCATTTCTCCCAGAAAGGCTCTTTCATAAGCACTCAGCCTTGCTCCGGGCACTGCTGATGGAAAGAGCGCGTCTTGCTTGGGGCCAAATGGTTCTTCCTTCGACAGCCACGACACCTGAGCTGCTCACCTGAGAGCAAAGGAAGCCTCCACCTGGGCACGGCCAGGGAAGCAGCAATCGTTAAGCTGCTTCAGCTAAATTAAAATCAGCCCTGATTTACACTATAAAAAATCCCATTTTTCAGAAACATGTTACCGACTGCTTTTGTGTATTTTTATTTTTCTAGTTCCTGAAGTCACCCAGTAGCCAAGTGTTCCATTTCTAAAGTGTTATGAAAATTATTTAAAAAAAAAAAAAAAAAGAAAAAAAAGATTTGGCAACACTTCAGAGGTACAGAAAAGGCTCTGTGCAGGCAGCAGCAGGGTAAGTTTTGTACACAGCACTGCCTGTACCCTGGATTACTTGGAGAAGCAGCTCCACAAATAAAATAGGGGGTCAGTTTCTCCAGCTATACAATCAGCAATTGCTCTGCTGAGGCCATCAACAAGCACACAAGTGTTAAGTATATGTGTCCCCAGGGACGTTCTCTGCCAAAACAAAAAAAAAAGGGCTATTTTAGAGAGGTCAGCTGCTGGGCAGTAACAACTTTCAGTTATTCATGCAAGATTTAATAAGGCCATTACGAGCAACAGGTGGGATTTTGGTTTTTTTTTTAATCCTAACTTGAGGGGCCCACTCATTTCATGTATAACTGAATAAAAATATTATCTTTCTCATGCGGAAAAATAAAACCAAACAAAACCCCCCACAATCTGCAGCATGAAGCAATTGCAGCACCAAGTACTGGTGAAGAGCTGGCACAGAGACAGCCCCGTGCCCAGGATCTCTGCTCCTGCCCAGGAGTTCACTGAGCAGGAGAAGAGGAGAGCAAAGGAGACGGGAAAATCGACACAACTGTCAGTCTAACGGCTGCTATTCATAGTGCCACTGACAGCTGCAAAACCGTGAAGAATCGTGTCATTTTATACATCTGCTGCTCCTTCTGAGGAAGTTCTGAGCCACTCGCTGCAAAGAGAAATGCTGCAGTTGTTGGCAGGGGGAGAAGAGATATTCTAAGGTGCTCATAAGATATTACAAGGTGTTCGTGCTTATGAAGAAAACACACACAAATCACCTTGTGCACACAGAGGCACGCACTAGACCTGTTTCAGTGCCACATTTCCTGGTGATGGGAGTTTATAGGGGTTTTCCTGAAAACAAATCAGGCCACAAGCACCTTGCAGAACATCCGGGGGAGCTGGAAACAGAACTATATTTAACCTGCTCCTCTAAGCGCTGAGCAATTTCCAGGCTCCGGCAGATGGTGAGCCTCTCTGGAAGGGCTTGTGCCCATGCCTGGCTCTGGCACGGCGAGCTCGGGGCCCGGCAGCAGCCTGTGTACACCCGCATAAAGCAAACGAAAAACTGCTACTCTTCTAGCTGTGGACTCGAACTTTGCAGCCCAAGCAGTTGTCAGGGTGGTTTTCAATGGCTCTGCAGACACGCCAATTCCCAGAGTCTGTAATTAGCTGAAAAGCTTACAGCACTGTAACCGCTCACAATGCTGGACTCTCCTACAGGGGAACAATTCTCGGCATCGTGCTACGTATAAAGTCCTTGAGCCCATGAAGGCATCCTGTCAGCACTACAGCAGCAGGAGGAAACTTTCCAAATACAGCTTTTAACGAGAAAGCATATTTAGACACTGAATAGACATTCATTTAGACAATTAATATTGGTTATTTTTATATCACTGTAAACAGGAGGGAGAAAACAGAAGCGGAGAGTTTGCATCTACCTTCCATCGAAAAAGAAGAACTTGCCACGACCGTTCTTTTCTCCATGCACAAAGTTTCCCTCAAATCTGTCTGTGGATGCATAGGTGACTGTACAGAATCCGTGTGGCAAACCATCGTCATCTAGGTCCCCTTAAAAAAAAAAACAAACAGCAAACACATTAAACGTTATATATAATTGCAACCTTATTCTGATTGCACAGACATTTGAAAGCTCCCTGCTATGCACAGTGATCCTAATCCAAATCTCCAAATCTTTCCTTTAAGAAGAGTAATCAGAGACTCAGCACAACTGAAGGTGGTAATTCTGTAACACACTTCACTGGAAAGAATGAACAGAAAGGGTCAGGATAAAATGAAGGGGTGAGGGAAAGGAGAGAAGGAAATAAATTCTAAGAGAAGTAAGGTTCATACTACTCACAAATGTATTCATATACTTTTACAGGAATATAATCGCTTTTATTATCTAAAATATCTATTTCCTGGTGGGAAGGGAATGGATTTAGACTTCAATCCATGGAGTAAGATGGGGTGGGTTTCTTTTTTGGATGAACACTTCTTAGAGCAACATAGTCTTCTACCTCACAGCTATATCCTCAAGAATTTAAAGAAATAAAAGCATGAAATACTATGGCCTTGTAGTATGTTGGTCAACTTCATATTTCAGTTTTCTAATTTTGCTTTCTGATGTCTGATGTGCTCCCATCACATCCCTCCCTTTCCTCCTCTAAAAACCGATTGTTTTCTAGCTTACCTGTGTGAACAGAGTGCTGAGGACTGCATTAACAGAATACTGCTCTGACTGCAAAACAAGGATGCTCAAGCTCAGCAGGGCAGCTTTCAACACAGTGCTACACCAAGTGTAGGTGTAAAAAGCTCCCATCATGACATTTTAGCAGGTAGAAGTTCTGCACAAAAACTGACAAAAAAAAAAAAAACAAAACAACAACAACAAAAAAAAACCTAGCATATTTATGTCCTTCTATGTTTCTAAATAAAAACTGGACTCTAATCCCATGAGTCTCTTTGTGGTGTACACAAAGCCTATTAGAGATACTTATGTACTTCTACAGGCTGTAGGTCAAACTCTTTGCTGATCAAACTTGCCAAAGGCACCAAAACTGAGCAGGTTCAATAACCATGTAGAAAGGCACCAGCAGTCTCCAGTATGATGCAGAGCAATGGGAATCCAGGCTGATGTACGTACCAAGAGGGACCTCAGTACTAACAATCCTAAAGACCTAAACCCAAAGCAAAAACAAACACTGCAAACAGGAGAGAGAAATGCCAGGTACAAATGCCCACCACATCAACTGACTCATACTGCAAATACATCTGCTTTTGGCTGTGTTCGCAGCACCACAGGCCATCAGATTTTTTTTTTCAAATCACAATTTAAGCAATGTGTCAGCGAGAAAAGGGGCTTGCTGACAGGAGGAGGTCAGCAGACTGCGCAGTATCAGAGATGACAAGAAGCAGGTCAGCTGAATATCCTCCAAGACCCTGCAGATACAAGAGCAGCCTCAGTCCCTGAGGGCACTGATGGAGAGGCAGGCAGAGCCTGTGGGGCACCAGGTGGGAAAACAGGCATGGGCACGATGGATAAGGCTGGAAGCTCTTGCACCCCTTCCTGGAAACCAGCATAACTAGGGGCCTACCTGAAATGCCAGTGTGCTCACGCAGGCAGCATGGAGAATGGGAGAAATCAGAAGTGTGCAGGCAGGTATGGGCCTAGGAACTCATGGAGGACACAGAGTGGGTGGGATAGTTCACACACCTAGAGTGTGCAAGGGATGGATACAGAGCCTTCAGGCGCTCATGAGTGCTGAAGGAGCTGGTGGACGGCCCTGCAAGGCCACTCTCAATCATCTCTGAAAGGTTGTGGTGGTGGAAGGAGGACCAGAGGAGGGGAAGAGAGCAAATGTCACTCCTGTCTTCAACAAGAAGGATCTGGGGAACTACAGGCCAGTCAATCTCGCCTTACTCCCCAAGAAGGTCGTGAAAAAAATTCCTCTTGGAAAACACCTCCACATTAAAAACCATAAGGTGATGGGGAGCAGTCAGCATGGGTTTACAACAAGTCAGTCATGTCTGACCAACCAAACAGCTGTTGGAACATGGAGCTTGCCGGATGAGTGGAGAACAGTGGAGACTGCTTATCTTCACTGCTTATCTTCACTTCAGCCTGGAGAAGAGAGGGCTCAGGAGGGATCTTATCAGTGTGCATACGCACCTGATGAGGGGTGTAAAGGAGACAGAGCCAGGCTCTTCCCAGTGGTATCCAGCAATGGGACAAGAGGTGGGGGGCACAAAACAAAGCATGGTTCCATCTAACCAGGAAGCATAAGAAAAGGTTTTCTCACTGTGAGAGTGACTGAACACTGGAAAAAGCTGCCCAGAGAGGCTCCATACTTGAAGATACTCCAAGCCTAAGTGGACACAGCCCTGCTCTAGCTGACTCTGCAGGAACCAGCAGCAGTGCTGGACTAGACCTTCCACAGTGTCAACAGCTCTGTGAAAGCCACTGAACTCAAATTCATTTGCTTTGCTTTTAAAAAGTTCCTGTAACAATGTAAGGCAATGTGGGAATACTAATCATCTGATGCAACTGTTACATTAAGTATGGAAATGCACCTAGAAAGAAGTGTGTAAGAGAAAAACCATGATGGGATCCAGACTTATAAAAGAGCTCAAATTCCCTCCTTCCTTGTTCCCATAAATGCACCTGCTCGGACACTTGCATAGCATCTGTGCAAGTTAGACATTAGGATTATAAAACACTGATGCAGGGTGGTACGTTATATCATATATTAAACAAAAAAAAAAAAAAAAGAAAAAAAGAAAGAGATGTTTACAGCTTAGTTCTTCACAATTATTCAGTTTTGCCCAGATTTGCTGGGATGCAGAATCCCCACAAAAGTTGCCACGCTTTTTGCACACCAGGCCTATCAGTAATTTTGCACAGCAGGATTCAGACTAGCCCAGAGATTTCAATGGCCAGCTTTGCACTGATGGCTTCTATACAGAGTCTTAATCTCACCCGTAGCACAAAGAATCCAATTCTTCTAACGCGCTAGAGATTTTCCCTACCAAAGGGAAAAAAATAAAAAAAAATTAAAAAAAAAAAAAAAAACTATTATGAGGACTGAAATGGGAAAAAAAAAAAAAAAAAAAAAAAAAAAAAAAAGAGAGAGAGAAAAGCACACAAGGCCCAACAAAACAAAGCACAGACATTTGGTCTGTCTTTGCAGAGAAAAAATAATTAAATAAATAAAGCAATTTCAAGTGTAATTACACAGATGCAACATTTCCTATATGGCTGGGGCCTTAGGTTCTAATTCTGCTTCAGATGAAGTCAATGGAAAAAAATCTCATTATTTCAGAGAGAGCAAAGCAGAGTTTTCCTCTCTCCCTCCTCACTACTCCATTTGTGAAAACTAAAACAGAATATCTTTATTTTTAAAATTATTTTTAAAATCTTCCTTTTGTCACTTAGAGGCTCTCTCAAGATTTCCTTTTAAGCTCAGATCATGAACTTCTCAAGAAAAGAAATTACACTTTCAAGGGGTTGTTCACAAGACAGCAATCTGAGACTATCATCGGTGACACTGACACACAAAAAAGAGAGATAAACAGCAGTAATACTGCCAATAAGGGGCATTTATTTAACAAAAGGCATACAGCGTGCACCATCAGGAGAAGATTCTGCCCACAGAGATGCCAGGCCGAGGTTTGAGGAGCAGCAGTAATTTCAGGGTCCACCAGCACCACCCTGCTTCGGTGTCACCCAGAAAAACACACACTTCCCAATATATGCTGAACACCACGTCCTCCCAAAGCTCATGCCCTTGGCCCAGGGCAGTGCTAAGCTGATCCACAACGCGCTGGAGACGTCACCTGCAACGGGCAGCTGCTCAGCTCGCATCTGTTGTTAAGTTTCTTTCCATGCCTGCTTTGGAGAAACGTGCACTGAGGCCTCATTCTCCTGCCACGATATCCCAATAATGCACCAGTGAATGATGAGCATGCCAGGCAGCCCTTACTTTGTATGCTTAATTCCAATAACTGAAAACCTAGGCCTGCTCTCTGTAGCCAGCACGCTGCCCTGAGAGGAATGTTAAAGCAGTAGATGCTTTTATTTCAAGCAGGCACATTTTGTTCAATAGCTGCCCAAGGCAAGTCCTTCCTGTGTTCCTAGATGCTTCCCAGGGAGGACAGCACGTTGCTGATGTATACGACTGCATGCCAACATCTCCATTAGCAATGTCTTCCAGAGGGGCGGACCCCAGTTTCCAAACTCCTGGAAGGTTAATCCTGCACGCTGGGAAGGCCAGCAGGGAAGGGGCACACACTGTCTCGGAGCTGGGCCTTCCCATTCCCAGACCACTGCTCTGCTCCGCTCCTGCCGCCGGCCGAGGTGGCCGCAGTTCCTTACTCCATGTGTGTTTTCCTGCGTGCACCACCACAACTGTAAAGGCGGCTCCCGCCTAGTCTTTACCAAGGACACATGTATCTTGACTCGGGAATTATCTCTGAAGAGGATAAGCACGGGGATGCTCTTATGGTTCCTTACGGTACCGGACACTTCCTCGGCTGTGCGGGCAGCTCAGGGGCCCTACCTCGTGCTGAGGCGGGAGGCCGATGCCACCCCGCGTGCCCTGCTGCCTATGGAACGTGTGGAGGAAACCAGGGCCAAACGGGTTAACGGCTCCTTGCGTCACCACCGAGGGCCCTGACTACACAGGCCCGAAAGCCTCGGAGCAAACGCACACACATGATGCGGGGCAGCAGCGCCGAGGGAGGCTCCTTTCCACGCCAGGAACCAGCCAGACGGCACGGCTGCTGCCAGCAGCCCCAGCCCTACGCTGCTGCGGGGCAAGAGCGGAGCGCAGCCGCGGGCTGCGGCCAAGCTCCCCGAAGCGCCCCGCTGCTGGCACACGCGTGGGCTGCGAGCCGCCCCCCGAAACGGCCGCGCCACGGGGGCTCCCCCGACACGCGGGAGGCGCCGCGGGCTCCCTACGGAAAGGGCGAGAGCGCCGTGCCGTGCAGACGGATAGATAACCAAATAAAGAGGCGCGCCGAGGGCGGCGGAGCCCGCGGCGCTGCGCGGCGCTGCGCTGCGCGGCGCGGTGCGGCCGCCCCGTTGCATAAGCCGCCTGATGTCATGCGCGCCCGCGGGCGCCCGTCCCCGCCGCGCCGGGCCCCGCGCGGCCCCCCGCGCGCCCTC